AAACGTGAATTTCTTTTCATTTTTTCATTTCAGCTTTTGGAAGTAAAGTCTGATGATCCGGAACCCTGTTAAAGGGGTTATGGTGAAATAGCTTATTACATGGAATCTTAACGTGGTCTGTTTTTTATTCAAACATATCTGCTCTGAATTTCACGTTGAGCTCTCTGGATATCATCCTCCTCAGGTCTACCCATACGGATTACCTAAATTTGCATAAACTCTCTCTCTCTCTCTCTCTCTCTCTATATATATATATATATATATATATATATATATATGTATATATATATATATATATATATATATATATATATATATATATATATATATTATACGTAATTTAATTATATATATATATATATGCCCTTAGATAAATATATACACATCTCTAAATTTAGGAAGCTTGAAGTGGTTGATTTTAATTTATTGTATTTCTAGCTAATAAATAAACATACTTTTTATATAATTAAATGTACAGATGCATAATAATTAATAAGCATAGAAAACAGAAAAAAATGAATTCATAGAAATAAATCCCATTTATGCATTTTGATGTTTTGAAAATTATTCGTACAATAAAAATTTCAGATTTTAAAATTTTTAAATTGCTTTAATTCTCTAGATTCGTCAAGTGGAACATTCTAGAATGTTCCAATAATGTTATCACTTGTTATTCTTAGCCTAAAATATATAAACATAACATTCTATAATTGATATTCGTGCAAGAAGGTTATTATCATCATGGCAAGTGATGAAGCATTGACAAATTCGCAAAAAGAACTGATTGGTAAACCTGGAAAATAGTTGCCGGAAAATCTCAAATAACCTGAATATTCCATTTACTACCAAAAGTTCATTCATTGCAAGCTATAAAATAGTCAAAAATGTTGAAAACGAATGAAGAACAGGTTCTCCTTGATACATTTCTTAATGCGTTCAATGAAATAAAATCCAATAGTTACACGTCAAGTGTTGCAGGATGATTTGCTTTCATCAGGCGATCTGTGTCACTAAACAGACAATAAGCAATGATATTCATAGGAACAATCTAAATCCATGCTCCTCTCGGAAAATTTCACTGCTACTGAAAAGACACAGAGATGCCAGGTTGAAATTCGTTTGTGAAAATAAGGATAATGATAAGAAAAAATCGTATTAGGAAAAAGTATTATGAACAGACGAAACCAAAATTGAGTTGTTTGGACGTCATTTTAGAAACCATGTATGGAGGAAAGATGGCGATGACTTCAAACAAAATAACATAGTTCCAACAGTGAAATTTGGTGGTGGCAGCATCATAGTTTTCTGCAAGAAGGTACTGGCAACCTATCAGTAATAGATGATAGAATTGAATGCCACAGCATATCAAAATATTTTGAAAGCTAATTTAATGATTGGGGTTGAAAAGCTTGAACTTCCTCATGCCTGGATCTTCCAAAAGATAATGATTTTGCGCACAAAATCTACGAATAAATGCCTTGCTGAAAATAATTTAAATAACCTGAAATGGCCAAGTCAGTCCCCAGATTTAAACCCAATCTAGAATTTTATTTGGAAATTCAAATCCATTCGAGAGCTCCAATAAACATCCCGGATGCGAAGAAGAATTGAACAAAATACCATTTAAAATTTGCAAATCATTAATTGAGAAGTGCAAGAAGTGGTTGGTTGTTGTTGAAGTGAATAATGAATATTCTACAAAGATAAATAATGAATATTCTATAAAGATTATCTATACTTTTTTTGTATTGTATGAATACTTTTTTCACCATTAAAATGGATAAATGGGATTTATTTCTACTAAATATTTCTTTACTGTTTTCTATGCATATTTAGTTATTGTGTGTCTTTGTATAGTTAATAATATGAAAAGTATGTTTATTCAGTTGTTGAAAATACAATAAATCAAAAATTCGTATGTGTACGAATATTTGCTTTCCCCACTGTATGACGAGATATACAGACAGACAGATAGATACATAAATAGATAAATAGATTGATTAATTTATTAATTATTTAATTAATTTTGTTTGATATAACATTGTTTATATTTACATATTTTTGCTATATTTGTCGATGGGGGTGTTCTCAACCGATTTCATAAATTTTCAATATCTGCACCGCCTGTGACACGGCACACGACAAGTCGGTAGTTAAGCTCTTGCCAAACACGCTGTAGCATGCCTGCGGTCTCCACCACGCCCGATCAATCTCTCTTGCACACTCTGATTAAGATAAGCACGTACTGTTCTCTTCGATTAAATATAAAATATTGATCTGTTTATATACATTCGGTGAAAATTTCAGGTTATTTCAATAAGAATTGCCAAAATTATTGGACTGCGATATGATGTCACTTTTTCCAGTCACCCTGTACATATATATATATATATATATATATATATATATATATATATATATATATAAATATATGGATATAGATCCGATCAGTATGAAGAAGAAAAATACGGAAAAACAAATAAGATCCTAATATGCAATTATGCATTAACATTAAAACAGCATAATTGCATATTAAGATTTTTGTTTGTTTTTCCGTATATATATATATATATATATATATATATATATATATATATATATATATATATATATATATATATATATATATATATTATTTATTTAAAAATATGATTCCATCGCTACATAAGCGTTCTCATGTTTCAAAACAAGAGCCGATAAACTTTAATATAATTATTTGAATTAAATTGAATTAAAGTACCAAGCTCTGTTCCATCTTCAAGCGAATTTTTTTTCTGTTTTTAAAAAATAATAACAAAAATACTAAAGAACTTTAGATTATATACCTAACGAGTTCTTTCCTATTCTCTATATATTTTTACAAGCACACACACACACAGACACACAAAACCCACCTACACACAAACACACACACACACACACATATATATATATATATATATATATATATATATATATATATATATATATATATATATCATAAAGGTAATAAATCCTTTGCTATAAAATTCAAGTGGATCCTAGTAGCATAAAATATTAAAACTGATCCACAAAAAGAGCTCAACGTATTTATTATTACAGAGCAGAAATTAATACACAAGAAAATCCAAAATCACCTCATATGTGGAATAAGCTTATTTCTACCGACGAAAAAATAAAATTCCTCAGTCTTATTCAACCCCGGTATAGACAGTTCGCGTCGGAATTAGAAATTTAACTCTGAAAGCTACAAAAACAAAACAAAAAAAAAAAAAGAGGCATATATATCTCTGTATAGATATGTTTCCATATTTTGCCATATATATATATATATATATATATATATATATATATATATATATATATATATATATATATATTCGTTTTCTATATAAATTTTAAAACTGACATCATTTCATTTTCTCTCCTTCATCCTTCATTCCCAATTAATTACGTCTACCCTATTTCAATCACATAGTTTGGGTCAACATGTCGCATTGTTTTCAGGTACGTTCCAAAGTTGACGCACGATGGGGATGGCCACTCCAGAGCACTCTCATCAAGAAGTCATCTTCTTAACAAATCGAACATAATGAGATTCATGGTCAGAAAGCGAACACTCTAACCACTCAGATACGATGGTTGAGCGTGAAGTCACAAGTCATCATGGCCCAGGATTTGAGCATGCTGACCTTTTTCAAACTGGTGATGACGCCAGAAACTGTAAGGTCCGTTCAGTACAATTGCAATAGAAACCATTGGTGGGCTCTGTGGCTATTGAAAACCTACAAAATGTGCTTGAGAAGATATCTACAACATGGATTGGCTAACCGCCCTAGTAAACAGGTATTGTTGTTTTGAAAACTGCTGTCAAATCTGGTCTGCTGCTCTTGCTATATATTCTTGATAAAATCCAAAGAAGAATCTGCCATGGTATTCGTCCTGAGCTGGCATCGTGGCTCCGTCTTTTTCCCATCGTCATAATGTAGTTTCCCTGTTCCTTTTCTTTAAATGCATTCATGGTAATTATTCTGATCAACTTTCATCAGTGGTATCTAGACTTTATGAATTTAAACGCAGTACTAGTTTTACAATAGAAATCGCTAGATGCAACCGTAATTTCTATGTTAACAGTTTCTTCTCTCGCACTTTTCCTTTTTGAAACTCTCTTCCGGTGTTTTGCTTCCCAATCAACTTTGATATTAAACATTTAAATTCGATGTGAATCGTTATATTCTGTTTTCTTAATTCTTATTCTTTTATTGTCCTCTCACCTTAATACTAGTTTTTATCATATTCTTTAAAACTTAGTAACCTCCAGCTTACGCCTTGGTGGCTTTATTGCCTTGCTTGGTGTGAAATGATTAAAATATATATATTCGAATAATTATTACCAGCCATTAGACTACTTCTTCATTCTTATCTCCCCCCCTTCCACTCCCTTCCTTCCACTCTTCCTTCCTTTCTTCATTTCTTATTTCTTATCTTTCTTCCTCCCTCCCTCCATCCCCTACTTCTTTCCCTCCTTTCTTTCCTTCCTTACTTTATTTATTCCTTCCTATTTTTCTTCCTCATTTCCTTCCTTTCTTCCTTCCTTCAATTACTTACTCCCTCCTCCCTCCCTTCATTTCTTTTTTCCTATTTTCCTTCCTCCCTACTTCTTTCCCTTTTTTCTTTCCTTCCTTACTTTATTTCTTCCTTCCTATCTTTCTTCGTCACTTCCTTCTTTCCTTCTTTCTTTCCTTCCTTCTTCTCTTACTCCTTTCCACCATCCCTTCCTTTCTTCCTTCCTTCCTTCCTTCCTTCCTTCCTTCATTCATTCATTCATTCATTCATTCATTTCTTTCTCCCTATCTTCCTTCCTCCTCCCTCCACTACTTCTTTCCTCCCTTCCTTCCTTCCTTCCTTCCTTCCTTCCTTCCTTCCTTCCTTCCTTCCTCTTTTCTTCTTTTCTCCCTATCTTCCTTCCTTGCTTCCACTATCTGGTCTTGTATATTTCTTTTTCCTATACATTCTCTTAATCATGGGTGTTTGCCATCCACCCCATGCGACTCTATGCATTTTTTTGTGAGTAGCATTTCTCCTCCACCCACAACGCACACTTGATCTCAAACCGTTCACATCTACTCACAATGTAAGTTGATCCACCAGGTGTACGTAGCAATTATACTGCCAACAACCTGCTTTAGCTGTTCACATGACGTGACAGGGGACAAGAGAGACTGTCGAAGTCAAAACGTACCCGTCTAACTCCCCACTACATATATATATATATATGTGTGTGTGTGTGTGTGTAAGACTGAAAAAGCCTAACATTATTCGCCCCACCCTTATGTTTAACACGGGAGGCCCACCCATTGGGTGACAAATGAACCGGTGCCATATTTGCCGGTGGACACTGCACCTCACGTGACGTGAACACAGACGCACGGATTAGAAACAGGTCTCTTATTTTCGAATAACTAAATAAATAAGTAAATAATAAGAGAATTTATTTTATCATTGTTGAGTGGCAACGGGAGGTGAACACGCCGATTCTTTGGAATCAGCAATGAAACGTTTTTATTACGAATCTCAGAAGACCAAGATGAATAATGCTGTCACAGGACATCAGTGTAGCTTCTGATGCACATCAATTTGCAGCACAATGTTTCCTACCCGATGTGCCTGTTATAGTCAAATGCCAGAAGACAGCACGAATGCGTAGATGTTTCTAACGAACGTTTCAATGACGTTGGTCTTGCCGAAAGAACTTCCTTTGAATGGGGTATCCAAAAATATTTTCCTATTGCGTGACACGCATTTATCTTTATTACTTTTCTGAGAAATATGGAAAAATCTGTCTTTGTCTGTCTGTGTGTCTGATGTCTCTCTTTATCTCTCTCTCTCTCTCTCTCTGTCGTATCCCTTCAAGCTGATCAGGGATCTCCACAGTTTCATTTCTTTTCTACCTCTCGGCAATAATTTCAGCTTTCCCACCCCTACTTTTTTTTCTGCTGCTTATTTAGTCATCCATTTACAAAAGATTTTTTCAAGTTGGCGACTAACGGTTGTCTTCTATGTCTTTTGACTTCGATCTTTCATGTGTGTGTTAAATTCTCGGAGCCCGCTTTCCTCAATATATGTGTCACATATTTTAACTATCCTTTTCTGAGTATTATGAAAAGTATATAATTTTTTTAGCAGTTCGTATTTTCCTTAGAACTTGTCCTTTTGTTGTATGTTCCGTCCTTAGTATTCTCGACATTTCTCGGCTGACGGTCACATCACTTTGAAAAAGTTAAGCAACGTCGAACCTGGTCTGTACGTGGACGGTGGTGACTTGGGAATATTATGTACTGTAAGCGGGTGGTGTAATGATAGTGGCTCGGATTTTTTCATCGAAGAGCCGAGTTCGAATTTCACTTGGGTTTGTTATATTCCCCTATGCGCAAATACCCTTAATATAAACACATTTCTTCTCCTCCAAACTATGGGTTAATTAGAAAGACATGTATCACTAAACTATTATCATTTTCAAAAATGAAATAAAATTGCGTACCTTAGAGGTGTTGATATGCCACTAAATAATATCACCTAACCAAAATCAAAATTCCACAAGAGAACCAGTGCTCAATCGCTTCAAACGTTTCCGTTTTAGCCCCTTCCTGATGGATTCGATCATATTACACTTGTCAGAGGAGAAGGAGTGGATATCACACAGCATTCGTTGTTTGGGTTTAAATATTATTTTTTATTAATTGTTGTCTTTATTTTTTTTACCGTCGTCCTAGGTATGACGTTAACCTACACCCAGCGGCAAATAAGGAAATTGGAGGTTTTGAAGAGCGTGGAAACACCTCTCAAGTGATGGTGTTCCCATGTCTACCCTTACCTGGGGTGGCAGCACCTGTTAGTGTTGCAGCTCTAGGTAAATAGTCAACCCTCAAACTGGGGTCAAAACACTATGAAAGTGTAAAAAGAAGTTTTAATACCAGAAATACTTTGTAAAAATTATTACCAGCAATAAATTTTTGAAGAAAAATTATTACGAGCAATACATTATTATCAGCAATACATTTAAAAAAAAATACCAGCTATACATAAAAAAAAAAACAATGAAAATATTGTCGGCATTAAATAACCCACTAATGTTTATATGCCGTAAAACAAACCAAACCAAACAATATATTTTTGAAAAAAAAAAATATTACCAGCTTTAAAAAAAAAACAAAAAAACTGCTATACATTTATGAAAAAAGTACCAGCCATATATATTTTGAAAAAATATTACCAGCAGTACATTTTTGAAGTAAAAAATATTACCAGCAATAAAAATTGCCGACATTAAATAATCCCTTGTGCTAGATATGCCGTAAACCAACCCAAACAAAACTACATCCGGCAGTATGGCCTCTAATCGGGAAAGTGGAGGTTTTCAAGAGCGTGCAACCACCACTTATTTGCTGTTGTTCCAAAGTCTGATAGGGTGCTACTACCCCAAACAAAAATCAACAGTACATTTTTAGAATAAACCGACAATGGCCAACAATACGTTTTTACATTAAAATGAAAATCAATGCAACACTAAAAATAAAATCTAAAAATACATTTTTATAGTAAAATTACCAACTCCATATTTTATGATATACAAAATATATATCTAAGAAACATAACTTTACTCTGAAAGTAAAAAAATTATGTACTAAATACTTATTGCTAATGAAATATAAAGGAAACTTCAATGATTTATCTAATTCTACGGGTAATGGCGGATGTTAGTTGGGAGGACAAGTACCGTTAGGGCAGGTTGATTTGGGTACCGTGATAGTGTACTCAGTTTTGAAGTTAGGGTGTGACATGATAAATAATGACAAAATATTTTTTCCAAATCATTTCCGTTTTTTCAGGAGGCGAGTTTAAAAGATTAAGTTTAGGTTCAAAATCGTAGCGTTGGAATTTCATTCCGATGATCAGTGAAAGCATTATAGCACAGCCTTATAAAATTAATAATATACTGAAGCTTTACTGATTGCATATAGACAAGATTCATGGCACAAAACATTATTGCTAAATCATTGTGCAGTCAAACAAGACCTTCATACACTTCAAAGGGAAATCATATTGAAAGGGAAAATAAACAATGCAAATTTAAAACATTTTGTCTCATAATTTGTTGCCAGCAGTATTATGGCGTTATATACACCTATCTATTTTCTTTGTTTTTACTAATAGTTATCTAACAAATGATCTAACAAATCGTATTCATTGACTAGCATTTTTATGTAGTGTTTTACATTTTTTACTCAGTTTTTACTTATCGAATACAGTAAAACATGACATATTTTGCTTGCGGTGATTCATAATTAGAATTCAAGTTTTAATATATTTTCTATTCAATGTATCGAATATAAAAGATATCAACTTTAGTTGGATTAATTCTTGAGATAGTAAAATTTTGTTGTTAGTTTGGAAGCAAAAATCACCGGAAATTCGATATTTCTGTACATTTTTTCAGACGGTCTTTAAAACTAAATTCTCAAAGACTGGTAAAAGCCAAGAATTTGCTGTTAATACTTATCCCATCAAACCCCAGCTTTTACAATGAGCAATATGTTGATTTTGTAAACAGGAAGGGAAATATCAACATGCCCTAAAGAAAAGTGGAAGTAATTCCTCAGAATATTTGCAATGGAATTAGCGATAAATAGCGAGGTGTCAGCAACGGTTCGTGTATGGGGAAAGGGTTATAGAATAGAAAATAGTTCATCACGAAAAAAACGCGAAAAAAGCCGCGCCTTTTTAACACGATCAAGCATGGTAAGTAATGACTAAATAGCTCCGGCCCAGATACTAGTTTAAGTCAAATGTTTTTAATTAATAGTTCTAACAAATTACAAACGAAAAGTGTTTATTCGTCAAATTAGGTCCCATTATGTTCTGTCGCCGGTTGCCATCTTTGTGATAGAAGCTCATTTTCCCGCTTGTACTATTTGATTGGTTTAGAGCCAAAAAATTCTATGCACATGTGTTCAACCTCATCCACATTGTTGAAACTGCGTCCGCGCAGGAAATAAGCCATGGTTCAGAAAATGTGTTGATCTGATGGTGCAAGCTCTGGACGACTTTCACACCTTCAAGTTACAAAGTGAAGTGTCGATTGAATACTGCTACCATATCTGATCTGGTGGCCCTGCTGTACATCTGGAGATTCATGAAAAGATCAAAATTACATACGAAAAGTGTTTATTCATCAAAATATGTCCCATCATATTCTGTCGTCTGTTGCCATCGTCGTGTTAGAGACTCAATTCCACGCTTGGCTGGTTTAGAAAGAAAAATCTCCCTACACCCGTTTTCAACTTCATACACGTTGCTGAATCTCCGTCCGCGGAGGAAATGAGCCATGGCTCGGAAAATGATGGTGCAATATCTGGACGACTGTAAGCAGGTTGAGTGGTGCGGGGAGGGGGGGGAGAAAAAGATTCCTACCTTTCCCATGGGTATTAGTACGTAAGTGAATGTAATAGATTCGACTTGAATTCGATTCGTCAATCCGAGCCGCGAAAACGAATTACTGATGCAATATATGGACAGAAAACGTCCATTCTTCACGCTGCAGTTTCGAGAGTGTCCAAAAGCGTCTCCGCGTCCTTGTGGGTGATGAATAATTTTCCACCCTACAAACCCTTTCCCACTGACGAAACTTTGCTCACCTATCGCTGCTCTATCGCTATTTCCACTCCTTAGATCCACCAGTCTTAACCTTCACAGCTGAGACCCGCCATGTCACACACATTGTAGTGAATCACACTCATTCACTTTGTATTCCATTTGTGAGATGTAAGTTCCAATCGAGTAGCTTCTTTCCATGAACTACAAGACTTGTGGAACTGACTCCCAAGAGGATGCTTCCCCGATCACTACACTCTTAATCTGTTCAAGTCTAGGTTTAACCGTTATCTTCCTCACATACCCACATAAACCGTGCCTATTACTCCGTAAGCCTGTACTTTGATTGGCTATCTTGTGATATATTTAG